ACAAACAAATGTCTGGCACAAGTAGTCCTTCCTTCCCATAGGAAAGTTAAATGGTCATATTTCCATCACTCCTCTTCTCTGGAAAGCTCCTTGAGGGTAGTTCTTACTCAATTCTGCATCCCCAGTGTCAGACAATAGCAGCTAATAAATTGCCCTAATCGATTTGAATAGAATGACTACGGAGTAATAGGAAATAAAGAAGATGCCCCCATGTGTTGAAGTTAGATTTGAAGATTTTCTGTCTGTGGAATCTGGTAATTCTCCCTAATGACTGCCCTAGCTTCTGCCCTAGCCAAAGCCTTTTTCTTTCCTAGCCTGCTCACAGTGACTGTGAAGGGCTGCTTGCCCAATAACTGGACCTTGACCTTGAGCTCTGGGTCCTGTCTGCACAGCCAAAAGAAGGAGGATTTGATGATACTCTGGTTTATCGGATCCATGAAGACTGTCAATCATATATGTATATTTTGCTTTAAACTACATTATCATCTTGATTGTGTAGAGTTAGAGCATTTCCCTATTCTATTCATTTGGTTCTGAACACAACCTTTGCACTCTGACAAAGTTGGAATCCGTTTGGGAATGGGGGGTTTTGGGGTCTATGTTGGGGTGGGGTGGGGAGTATTTGAGAGGAGGTAGAGGGGTTTGTGCATTAGGAAGGACCCCTTCTGCCACAAGAAGTAGATGCTCAGGAAAGGGAGGGCCAGACCCTGGCGTGATTTCATCTGAAAAGGAACAAAGTTAAAACTCCGAGGAAGATTAAATACATCCTCTTGATATTTATTTTCCTTACCCAAAACGAGTAAAGCTATTGTGTCTGTGGTTAAGAATAATGGCAGGGTGACTCAGACTTATTTGCAATCATCAAAGAAATGAAAGATTTGGATCATGTCATTAATTAATCTTCTTATCATGATGAGGCGGTGACCATACCCAGCTGAAGAGTGCTATGTGCATAATAGACAATTAGGGGGGATGTGATGACGTAATAGCTAGTAGTGCCCAGTGTTCAGCCTCCCTTTTCCATTCCCACCCACCCTGAACTTTGGCTATATTTAGTTGTTTTACACAGTGTTACCTGGACCAAAGTCTATTTTACAAAATGAAAAGCATAGAAAGGAGAGTTAGAGTCTTCATAGAAAATTCCGGCTCCACGAAGTCTATTTTCCCTGGTTACCCATATTTCTTCTTGGTTAATGTTTTCTCCTATGTTGTACCTGGGATCATGGCTGAAACACAATCATGAGTTTACTTTGTGGAAAGGGAAGTAGGGCATTGAGCAATCATCTAATGACTACGGTCAAGATGGTTAGTGAATTTGGAAAATTCCACTCTCAAAAAATTACTTTCTCTATTCTGTAGCAGGTTTCCTCTTGGCCTTAATTACCTACAGAGTTGTCCAATTTTTTCTGATAGTCTTTACTGTTGTTCACATCACCTAAATAATTTACTTAATGGATTTCATTGGGTTCGTTTGGGAACCCTTTATTCTAAGTGGCTTCTTTTATTAATCCATTTACTTATTCAATAAACACCGAACACTGTTCCAGTTATCTATTGCCATGTGTAATAAGCTACCCTAAATCTAGTGACTTAATGAAACAATTTATTACTATCACTCATGGTTCTTGGGATTGGTGGGCTCAAGCTGGGCAGTTCTCGCTTGTTTTTTCCCATATGGTTGCAGTCAGGTTGTAGCTGAGGCTGGAAGCCATCTAGTGGCTTCTTCCCTTATATGTCTGGCACTGGGCTAGTCAGGAATCTCTCTCTCTCTCTCCACTTGATTAGCTTGGACTTTCCCAGAGCTTGTTGGTCTCTTGGTAGTCAGACTTCTTACATTGTGATTGGCTTCCACAACACGAGTGCTCTAAAAACTCCAGGTAGAAGTTGCAAAGGTTCTTAAACCTGGCCTTGCAAGTCTCTTCTTCCACCTTCCATTTGCCAAAGCAGTCACCGGCAAACCCAGATTCCAGGAGATTCTACCTCACAAGAGGGGAATGGTTTGTGCATTTAAGGAAGGGAAGAATTGATGTGATCGTCTTAATGAGAAACTACAACAAGCACCTACTACTGTGGCAGATACTATGCTAGGGGCTCGGGGCAACATGTTGACATAATAGGCACAGTCCCTGTCCTCATGGAAATTAAAATCTAGCTTAATTAGCTTTAGTAAGACATGATGGTTTTCACAATCAACTGCTGAGCACTAAACCTCAATACAGTATCGATTTGGTTATGAAACAAGCAAAATATCTATTCTGACCATTTGTGGTCTGGTCATTTTGACTTTATCAATAACCAGAATGAATGAAATTTGTGGGTATCTGATCTTTAGCTTGATGATCACCTTGATGCATTGATTCATCCACACATTCCTTTTAAAATGCATTCTTTAAAACAGAGTCTGAGCAAAACAGGTATTCATCTGTTGCTTAACAAGCATGGTTAGTTTCTGCTGTGCATGGAGGCTGAAACTAGCACCTTTGACTCATAATAGGGAATATAAAAGAAGCTGAAAAGTCAGATTTTGCCCTGATGAGCTTCCATTCTTGTGAGCAGTTCTAATGGTGGGCAGGTGCACCGACTTGTGGCAATTACAAAGGAGGACGGTGACCCCAGGCAAGGCGGGGTACACTAGACGTGTGCTATCAGTTTCCCTCCTGAGAATTATCTTTTGGGGAGAAGAAATTGATCAGTTAGTTGCCTTCATTTTCTTCTCTCTTGTGCCATTAAAGGAAGGTGAGCTAACCTGTTAAGTAAAAGGAGATTTCAGGACAGGAATGTTGACAGAAGAATTGGTGGTGTTCAGCAATTCTCAGGGCTTATCGTTTTTGGCATAGTTCATGTTCATTCAGTGGTACAGCTACGAGGGGCTGGGGGGGGGCGGTGCATGATGACACAAGAGATACCTTGACATTTCAGAAGCAAAGGTCGAAGCTTGAAAAGGTCCAAGAGCAGACAGAATTCCTGGGCACACATGTCAAGTTCCCTGCCGCGAAGCTAGTATCATGTTGTGCCTTCTTACGTTGCATCTAAATATCTATGTTGTCTCACATAGCATGAAAAGACATTATGGGGGATATTTTAAGTAAAACAACAACAACAACAACACACAAGGTGTTTTATTTTACCTGGATGTTTTAAGTAAAACTAAATTTTGGCTTGTCATATCAATTGTCCTCTATCAATTCATTAACTTTAACTTCATGTCTCACGCTTCACCAATATGGGTCCTTTTCTTATATTAGTGATTCTTGTGTCCCCCAGGTATGATTTGCTAAATTAAACTTCCTTCCATTTCTCATGCCAATTTATTTATCTGAAATGCCTGTTCTTACCTTCTCTGGAAATTCATTAATAATCAGATTTTGATTATATCCTACTCTTCATTCTGCCAGCATGTACTTGTTTGGTATGTTTTATAGTATGTTAGTTTTGTTTTTTTTTTACCTGATGATATATTATTTTGTAATTTTTCATGGGTACCTGATTTGCCCAACGAGATGGTGGAAGCTTCTCCATACATACAAATATGTGTGTGTAGGTACATATACATACACAGGAGACACTTCTAACAGCTGATCATCTCTCTCCAGTCTCCATTTTCCTTTTGTTAGGTTACAGTTAAACAGAATATTTTGTAGTTACACAGTGAATCAGATCAATACATATGGGTAATGGAAAATACAGCCTTTAAAAAAAAAAAAAGAAACCTCAACTTCATATTCACAAAAATAAAAACAATCTAGAGTATTGCTCATCTTTTTCTCTGGGAAAATTCTTTTCTTACATTTATGACAAACTTTAAGTACTTAAGCTATGCAAGTATTAGGGGCAAAAATTATTTTTTTTCTTGAATTATGGAAGTCTTTATCTAACTCCTCAACTTGAAGCTACAAGGCCTTTGAATTTCCATATTGCACTTTGTGGGAGTTTATCCAGTTTTTACTGGTGGGGAATCAGCCATTGGGTGGCTTGGAGGACTTCGGTTATTTCTCTGTAATGTCTACCAGTATCTGACTTCTTAAATGAACATACAATTTAAGTAGAAACTTGGGGTGGCCTCAGGAAAATTTCCTAGCCAACATGTCATCCCTTCTCTTCCCTCTTCTTAGCAATCTGCTGTCTCTAAAACTTTTTTATTTACAAAGTTTGGTGTAGATGCTGCATATGTAATCAATAAGGAGCTTCCCAATCTGTCTGAGACCAGGGCCACTAAGAGAAACTTTCAGTGCTCCAAACACCAGGATTTACTGTGACATCTCTGATATTACATTATCACAAAATAAAGTTGTATTCTCATAATTAGACATATGCTTAAAATGCAAACACTGATGGAAGTATTAATGTAATGATGGGCCCTTATTCACGGAAGATGGTATTGACCGATAGCAGATCTATTCTTGAAAACAGGTTCTGATTAGGCCAAAGTGGTGATGGAGTTTGGGAGGATGACAGATCACTACAGTCTTAAAGCAATGGTTTTGGAAGTAGGGTATTTGCGCTCCATGGAGAATCCAAAATGATCCATTGGTGCGCAGAAAGAAAATATTAATCCCATTTCTTTGAATTTTTTATTTCACATTAAGAGTTTTTTGGTGCATATGTTTTTGGCACACACACACACACGAGTAATAGACACTTAGTATATAAATAAAAATACACAGGTTGGATGTGCTCAAAGGTTTGTTTTTATCGATAGAGGCATGTTATCTAAAAATTCAGAAACCACTGCTTACAAAGGGTGAATGTGGATAAGGGCCTGGCGACGCTATGGAAGGCTTGGGAAATGGTCACAGAACAAGTGTTTGCAACCTCAGAATTCCGACTCCGGTTATTACTGGTTCCAGTTATTTGATCAATGGAGAGTTCACTAACTCTCAATCTGATGCCAGGACAGTCCCTTTTAAGATGTCAAGAAATTGCTCAACATTAGGATGTTGACCGAAGAAAATAGATATTAATCATGGTTTTTTTTTTTTTTTCCATTTTGTTTTCTCAAGGGTCCCACGGGAACAGAAAGTTTTGAGGGAGTTTACTGTTTGTGCAAGATGACTGGTTGGGTAAAGAAGTCAAAAGTGTTTTATCTGCAGAACAAATAAAGCCCGGGCAAAGGTAACTGAAATGAATGTCTCCCACCTTGTCCCTTTTGCATGTCTAAGGTGATGTTTGTGCCAATGGTTGCACAATGGACAACCTAATCTATACACGTCAAATGGACAAGAGGTGCATTTTAGAGGCCTACTGGTTAAAAATAGTCACTGATCTTTATTCTTCTTAATTTGACAGGCAATTAATTGATGGTGGTGCCTGTATAGAAATCAGTTAAATAATGAAAAATCTATTTGTTGATAAGATATTACTAAATATTCAGACAGCATCTGAGTGGCTGTATTAGAATTCCTCCCCCCCCCCAAAATGGACATCCACAGCTCTAAGAAAATACTAAAGTAAATGTATCATTCATGGATAATCTTGACGTTTGTGGTGGGTAATGACCACAAGGACTATTGAATTGTCCTTGTGATTACTCCATAGTAATTACTGACAAATATTCAGAATGGACATTCTGAAAATGTGACTCATAGAATGGGGCTCAAATGGTCTTTTAAAAGACAACTTTCTATTCATAGATATTGATGGGAATGTGGGCTGAGACTGAAGAGTTGAGGTTAAGCACTTATTATAGGGAAAAAATTAAAAATGCTTCATCTCTCAGAGATCCTTACTGGCCAGTTATTTACTTAATCGTTTTCTTTATTTTGACTCTTTGTTGTTATTGTTTCTATTGGAACGTAAGGTTTGTAGATCCAGTTAAAGAGGTATTTTATATGAGATAGTCACAAAGTACAATAATGAAATGAGCAAGCAGCCAGTTATGGATAGAAGCTAAGTAAATTCCAGAGCTGATATTTATTTTTAAATCAGTTGCTAGAGAATTTTATAACCTTTTCCCAAGGACATTCATTATGCAAGTTTATTCCTCAAAGAAATATCTAAAAAAAAAAAAAATAAGTTTAGCCATTAAGAAGAGTGGTGAGAGTCGGATCCTCTGCCTAAGTTTTGGATATTTGGGAAAAAAAATCCTGATGGGATTAAAGGTTTGAGGTAAGAAATTTACAGAGATTTGCCTTTGTCCATGTGGCTATGTATGGATATATACATACTGAATAACTACAACATTTACTGGTATAATTGTTTAAAATTTAAGAGAAAACCCCAAATTTTCCAGTATGCAAAAGACAAATTCCAATTTCTAAGCCTAAGCCCTGCTATGACCTGTGGTTTGTAATTTTGTGTTTGACCAGCTATTCAAGTAGAAAAACTAATGCTAGTAAAAGTTGGGGTTAGCTGTTTGGAATTACTTCTTCTATAGAGTGTGAACCACTGAAGAGAGTTTTAAATGGGGCTGGACTTTCAAAAAGTCCAGGGTAGACAATTATCTTTCTGAGAGAGTAAATTTATGGTTTTTCCTGGGGGAAAAAAAATGACCTTTGGAGTTTCCATCAAACTCTAGGATTCTATCAGCCACCCATCCAAGGGCTTGCAACATTGTATGTGTGACTCATCTGTTCTGCTTTGAAAAGGAGCTACTTTTTGAGGAAGGTTGACGGCCGTGGAGACCTGTGAATGTTGAGAGACAGAGGCGTGAGTGGGGATGATTGAACCAATCTGTGATTCCAAAGTGGGCTTTGTAGTATGGAGACACCTCAAAGAACTAAAAGTACACCTACCATTTGATCCAGCAATCCCACTACTACCCAAAGGGGGAAAAAAAAAAGACATTTTATTAAAAAGCCACTTGCACTCGAGTGTTTATAGCAGTGCAATTCACAATCTCAAAGATGTGGAATCAATCCAAGTGCCCATCAATACATGAGTGGATTAATAAATCATGGTATATGTATACCATGGAGCACTACTCACCCATAAAATAAAATAAATGGAAGTCTAGTATCTCATGTAATAACCTAGATAGAAGTGGAGGGCATTCTTGTCAGTGAAAGTATTGCACAAATGGAAAACCAAACACCACATGTACTCAATCCTAAATTAGAACGAATCGACAACACTTAACGTGCACATATGGAAGTAAAATTCAGGGGAAATCAAGTAGTGGGAGGGGAAGCAGGGGATGGGTACATTCACACCTAACGGGTACAATGCACACTACCTGGCTGAAGGGCACACTTACAACTTCGACTCAAACTATACAAAAGCAAATTATGTCACCAAAACCCATGTATACCCGTAAAATTATGAAGTTAAATAAAAAATGAAAAGACAAAAAAAAGTGGGCTTTGGAAACTTTGGAGCCTATTAAGTTATTCAGGTAATAATACAAACAATGGTTATTTATATACCTAGGAACACGTAGGCAGTTGGTGATGAAGAGACAGAATGGAAGCAAAAGAGAGAGAGAGAGAGACAGAGGGGCAGGGAGGACAGGGACACAGTGCACACGTGGCCCGTGGCCGGCGGCTGCACCGTGGGTCACAGGGCCTGGTTTTCCAATCTGGCTCTCAGCTCCGAGAGTCTGTTTATTCAGCCCCCGTATCAGACGTTCCCTTTTCCTGCCCGAAGAAGTCCCCTTTGAAGAACGGCTCTGCTGGGGAGTAGTTTCCCTTTGGACGGGCTAGTCCTGTTTGCAGTCCTGAAAGGAAAAGAACTGGAAATGCCACAAGAATGTTCTTTAAAGCGAGATTCCAGCGCCACGTGAAATAGCTGTAAAAGATGTATTTCCTGGTTGGGGTGTGTTTTTTTTTTCTTCTCTCAAGTGAATTTAGCGCTTGAACAAAGGTGTCACATGAATGCGATCGGGGTCAGATGTTCTTGGGTACCTCCAGATCAGTGTGGGCAGGTTGAGGCTGGGGCCTGGGGCGTGACATCCTACCGGCCAGAGGCGGAGAGAATTCAATAGGCCCAGAGACCCAGTCTGGCAGGTCTTTATCTGCAAAAGAATCAGAGGTGGTGACATTATCAGGGGACCAGCCTCTATTTTCAAAGCAAAGCAGCCGATGGAAAGTTATCTTTGATAGTGAATTGGGGGACAATGTTTATAATCAAATCGGATAACTGGAAGGGTGAAAATTAGACCTTGGGGTGTAATATTAATTTCTTGTATTTTAGGGCACTTTTTTTTTTTTTTACTTTTTCAAAGGAGTTTTTCATCTAGCCTCCATGAGAACCCTGTGAAGTAGCTGGGGTAGCCTCCTGAATTTTCCTCTTCGGAAACGGAGGTGGCCAAAGCGAGAGAGATGGTGTCCTGGCTTGTTACTGGTGGGGGCAGAACGCCAACCCAGGCCTCTTGACTCTTGGACCAGGTCTCTTTTCTCTGTGTTCTTGGGACCCGCACAAAGGGACAGTGGGAGTCTCAGAAAAAAGGAAGGGGACATTCTCTATCTCCTCCCAGGCCCATAGAAAGCTACCGTGACTTTGAAGCCACTGCTTTGCTGTGCCCAAATGCTCTCTCGGGGACTGGCCTTAGGGAGGAGATTCAAAGTGGAACCTTCAGAGGGTAAGTCTCATATTCTAGTCACCGTGGCTGCCCACGCCTGTGGTTGGTTTGTTCCGTCTTTGCCGGTAGCACATGAAACAGGAGTTCTCCAGAATGCAAAGCATTCTCTGTTCAATACTGGAGATGAACCTTTTGAGCGAGGGATGATGTCCCTTCACGGTCCCTTCTCCTGGTTTTCCAGGAGAGGTGATGGGATGCAGACTGCCAACCTGATTCCTGGCAGAGACTTCTCTGCCTCACCTTGACTCTTGGGGCCTAGGAGTAAAGTTCATGCCCAACAGGTCACTGACAATGTTACTTTATCCGGGAGTAAGAGAGAACCAGAATTTCCTTCCAGGGAATATGGAACCTCTTCTAGTTTCTGGTTCAAGGGGGAAACTAGAAGAGGTGTCATTTACAGGCTGCTTTTTCTGCTTTGACACACAGAGCCTTATATTTTATCTATTTCTGGAAGCTTGTCTTCCCTCTACACGTAGAGCTGAAGTTGCTTGACATCTGAGCAGTATCTTGTAATTATTTGTATCCTCTAAGGCTTCCTAGTACTTAAAATATCTGATGAATGAATGGAAATCCATTCTCTGCCAATCCCTTATCCCAGCGTCTCGCAGCCTATAGCTCAAATCAGAATCACCTGGGAAACAGGCAAGTGTCCTTCGAAATAAGACCTGAGATGAATCTTACATGCACCAAAGTTTGAGAATTACCACTTTATCCTTTCTCCCCTTGGCTATGAAAAGTCATCAGCACTTTGAACAGAGCCACATAAGCATAAACACAACCTCATATCTATGTCAGGATTTATGATTTGTAAAGTTTATTTCACATGTTTGTCTAATTTAATCCTGATTTAATAAGAGGCTGATGATGTGTGTTCTTTCTCTGCCCAGTGTACAGAGTGGGAGACAGAGGAGTGACATTCTTTGGATCATATAGCCAGGGCGTGGCAGGGCCTGTACCTATCCTTGGGCTTCTGAGTCCAGGTGTGGTGTTTTCTTCCCCCACGACACCTGTGGCTCCATACCTTTGTCAGGTGTAGTTGTTCTTTGTGCCATCGGTGCTATTTCTGATCATGCCTACTATCCACATAGCTGGGGGCAGTTACCATGATACATACATGAAGCCAGCAGAAGCTAGAGCAGTCTGCATTCCTAATGAAGTAGGATAAGTGGCTGAGACCATAAGGAACTATCCTTTTATGCAAATGTTAGAATACAACATTTTTGTTCATTATCACATTGGAAAAGCATATCTGGGAACTGGGGAGAGGTGAGGGTCCTTTCAAAGAAGGAGAATCTGTTTGTCTGGTGATGTGAGATGTAAACTGTATTCTCTTGATTTTTCTTCCCATCTCATATTACTGGGAACAATGGAGAAGGAATGAGAAACAAGCTGAGACCCTTCAACTTGATCTGTGCCCTGGAGTCCCAGTGATGGCCACACTAGCTCTGATGTGGTCTGTTTTAGATGTCTATGAGTTTCACAGCTAGAGCCAAATGAGGTTCTTGAGGAAGTGGTGTAGATGCATGGAATGCTGTGAAGGTGAGTCGTTTGTGTCTCACTTGATTTGAAGATCAGAATGCTCCAGAGTTCACTCGATGCTCCAGGGAGCATGCAGCCACACTTGCAGCAGCAATTTAGTGATCACCAGAGTATTCTGCACAGAACTTTCTGGATGGCTGTTTATTCTTTGATTAATTGCAAAGTACAGACAGCCATCAGAAACCGAGACTTGTCAGCTGAAAGAGAAGGTGGGCCTGAAACTTCTGCTGGTCCCCAATTCTCTTCCACTTAGCTGGGAAAGGACCTCTTCTTTAATCACGGAGTAATAGATGATTGATATGGCTGTACCCTGATTAGAGAAGGTTTCATTTTACTTGTGCATGGTACATGGAATTAGTTAAGGGTTGCACAGGAAAAGAAGTGATGGACTATTGTTCACATTAAATTATAATGACAGCCTTCCTAACCACTGTGTATTTATTATGTAAGAAAAGAAAATGTCTGGTAAAATTCTGTATAGGTTAATAACACCTTCATAATATACTCCTTCTTTTCTATTGACTTGAATAGCCCTCCTACTGACTTTTAATGGATTATTAGAGTTAATTACATCAATTGCAATATAATTGATTCTTAAATACTATGTAGAAACCTCATACAATTATGGAAAAACAAAAGTTATCTAGACATCTCAAATCAAAAAAGATTTGGAATTCCTGCACATTTAATTTCTGATAATCACTAGTCAGTTTGGACATTAAGATTGCATGGTGTCTTGTTTTCTCTTTGCTAGGTTTTGACAGAATTGATAGTTTTACAACATTTAACTCAATATGCATGGAAATATAAGATTAGAGCTGTGAGTGCAATTTTTTTTTTCTAAAAAAAGATCACTTCATGGCTCAAAAGCTGAAATGTGTTACCTGCCTAACATTGACAGAAACAAATTCAAGGGAAAATCAAAAGTGGATTTGATGTTGGGTTTTAGAAATCTCTTTTCCACAGGTGTAAAGATTCCTGTAGGTCTTAGGGTTTATTACCTGAGGGCTTTAAAATATGACAAGGGGATGAATTGCCTAAAGGGGCAAAAAAAAAATCCCTCTCATTTGATTACCTAGATATGGGCTATGTGTTCTAATGTCAACACCACTGATTGAAAAGTGGAACATCATTAATATCTGGTATTTGATGTCATACAGATCAAAAGAAATCCCTGTAATAGAGTTGTTTGAATGCAAATTTTTTCCCCCTTTTTAAAACTGATTTTGGGAATCTCATTTGTGGGTACTGACAGTTACAAATGTGAGTTTTACTTGATGCAATAGACAGGTGGCAGGAATGGTAACCAGCAGACCTGATGTTTTTCTGTTACTATTTAACTCTATGACTTCACCTTTCGAGGCGTAATGATCTCTTCTGTAAAATGAGAGAGTGAACTGCCTCTGAGTTCTCTACCTTGCATCTCTTGCCTTTGAACTCTTAGCGCTCTTATTATCTAAAGTAACTTATTTGATTCTTAATATAAGCTTCCTTGTATCAATATGCATATATCAATATGCTTCATATATGCGTGCCTTATATATATATTTCTTATGACATATATATATATCTTATCTTCTTAGCTAGGTTATAAGTTTCCAAGGACAAAGACCATGCTGTAGCCATCTCTGTATTCTAATAACATGTGCTCTAGTTTCCTAACACAGAATATGCTATTGTTTTGTTGATCAAGCAGCCAATCAAAAAGAAGCGTTTCAATTTTTATCCCCTGGAACTATTGATATGATATAGCAAGAATAATGACAATATATTGCATTTATTACAACGGTTCAATTTTTAAAAGCATTGCAAAATATATTCTTTTATTCTGTAAAACATTAATTGAGCTTTAAATCAGGTGAAATCAAGATGTAACATTTCACTTAGTTTTTCCGTAAATTGAAATGCAATGCATACTACCTATTCAAACTGAAATGCGAATGCATGCTACCCATTCAAACTGATATTTTGAATGGAACTTGAAAGGCTTATTCTAAAGTTCATTTGAAAGGAAAACACATGACGATAGTTATGAAAAACCAACGAAAAATTTTAAAATGAGTAGAGACTTGTCCTAATAGCTATCAAAACAAATTGTACATCTTATGCAATTTAACATGCAAGTATAAAAATAGAGAAATCAACTAACCAAAAAGATGAGAGTCCAGACGCAGACACAAGAATATAGAGGAATTTAACAGATAATATGGAGGCATTTCAAATGAGTGGCTAAGCAGTAAATAGTATTGGGCAACTGGCCTTCCATCTGGATTCACACTATACACAAAAGTAAATTCCAGATGGAATAAAGCTCTAAACATAAAAATCAAATCTATATCACTATAAAAAGTAAATATAAATGATTAAAAAAATATAATCTTGGGTTAGAAGGTCTTTGTAAGCAAGGTGAGAAATCCAGAAGCCACGAAGGAAAATCTGACAGATTTGACTTCATTAAAAAAATCATAAAAAAAAAAGTCAAAGGAGAAATGACAGATTGGGACAAAATATTTGAATTATACATTACAGAAAAAAGGGTTACTATCTATTATTGAAAGAGTGCCTATAATTAATGAGAAAACTATAACTCACTCAGCTTAAAAAATGGGCAAAAAATATAAAATAAGCAACTCTCAGAAGAAATGCAAATGTCTAGCAAACATTTGAAAAATATGTTCAACATCATTAGTGGTAAAAGAAATGTAAAATAAAAGAACACATGCATTGCTGTTTTCTACCTATCAGATTGGAAAAAAATTAAGGGCATTTATTGGACATAGTTAAAGTGAATGAATATACTATATAGACTGTCAAGGACAGATGTCAGTAATATGTTGTTAGGTGAAAAAATGCAAGTTGTAGAACATTGTACATTATAGTACATCATTTTTGTAATACTTTAAAAAAAGCATGTGCATATAAATTTTAACAATTATTCATGCATTACAAATATACCATATCATAGTAGTTATCTCTTGGGATGGAGTTAAGATAGGTGTAAGTATATAGCTCTATTCTTTGGATTACTTTTCAGTTAGAAAACATTCCTTTGTTATGCTTATTTAATACTCATCAAGCTTTATAACTGATCTTTAGCAGGTAGTTATTAATACAAGTCACTAGAGGATTTAATTGAATGAAATATTATATATTAATAAATATAATACAGTATTTTATGGAACCTCAGTCAATTATGATTAAATTCTTCAAATTAATTTTTGTTGAATTGGGTGGGGTAAATAGGGTTCTGGCCCTAAACTGTGGCGTTGGTCGTATCTTATCAGCAACCCTTCAGTGGTTAGGTTCCCAAGGTTTGTGCACGGGTTGTGGTAGCTCTCTGCTTCCTATGTCAGATGTCATATTCCACATGACATCCAATGGCACTTTCCCCTCTACCCCATGAACACTCTCAGTGTTAAGTAAATCGCCACATCCTGGAACCCAGGCCATCAGCAGGGTTAAACAAGTCAATGTAAATAAAGTCCTGTGATTAGTTTGAACTTGCTTCCAAGTTGTTTGTTAGCAAGGAGTTAACAAGTTCAGACCTTTGGTCATACGGGTCTTTAAGGAAAAAAAATTTTTCCCCATTCCAATGACTTCCTGTTCATGGGAAAATGAGAGGAAATGAACCTCAAACAGGAGGATGGACCCACCCTTTTCCAGTCGTGTGGCTAATTTGTCAGGTGTAATATTGGCACCTGGTGGCTTGTGTTGGCTTCCTGCCCAACTGCGCTGGGGAATTATCCAAATACTTGTAATAGGCGGTAGACGACTTCAAAGCCATTTGTAGGAGAAAAGGATGTTGTCATTAAAGAACTTAATGGTGAATACTCCCAATCATTTAGTGATGTCAAGGTAAAAGGAAAATTTTAAAAACACATTAGAGTTTTTTTCTGATGTATCATATGACCTATTAAAACAAAGCAATGCAATTGATTTAGTAATAATAAATATCCGAATATATATGTATGTGTGTATATATAGATTGAATGCTTGGTTTTGTTTTTGCAAAATTAGCAAAGGTATCAATTATTTATAAGATTATGAATATTATTTCTTTAAGGATACAATTCTTCTTGCTCAAATTCGTCTTTAAATAAGCACTCTCTTTGTGTCTGTTAATGGAACTGTTTCCTTTGAATCAAAAGGGATAATAACAATAATATGGAGTGGACCTGATAAATGAACAGGGACGATATGAGTTTTCAGAATCCATTAGGAATTTCGGATGGGCACAGCTGGTCCAGTTCTATACCTCTCTATTTTGAGCTAGAAATAATCATTGCCCTTTGAACAATCGTATAGTTAATAGTCCAGCAATTCAAGGCAAATCTGTCCATGAATGAGGATTAACCAAACTGTAATCAGTGGTCATTACACCATAATAAATTCTATATAAGAATGGAACTTCTTTTAGTTTTTATAATTGATATGAGCTATATTGCCTTCGTGTGTCTAAAACTCTCATGGCAGAGTCATCATTAATGGAAATTCATGAAAAACAAGAATGTCTCCCTAAGGCATATGTCCATAATGTCATCATCTGTAAACCTCAATCATTTAATTGTTTCTACTAAATAATCGAGTATTTGTTTAATTTTTATTGACCTAATACAGTATTTGAAAAATTTAATAAATTATTAATTGAATACAATATTTGTTGAGCATCAGCTCTGTTGAAGGGTATATAATTGGATTTGCTCTGGCAGACTGGACAATTTCCATAAGGGAGCAGGAAGGATGCACTGCACAGGGGACCCTCAACCCCAAGAGTTGATGTCAAATGGTTCAAGTTTTCAGGGACTTCACAATCTTTTACAATCCGCCTGGCTGGCAAGCTTGAAACGCATCAATCATTAGAAATAGTACATTGTGTAATATAAACTGTAAATGGGACATGGGTTGAGAAAATGTGAGATCAGTGTTGATCAAAAAAATCTTGGAGAAAGAGGTTAGTTAGTTGAATCTTAAGAATGAATGGTATTTAGACAACCAAAAAGGGAAATAGCGGACATTGTAAGTGGTTAGGAACTGGGAATGAGTACAGAGTGAGGTAGGGTCTTTGGGGAGGTCCAGATGACTATAGCATTGGTTTCAGGTTCCTATGTGGTGGGAATAAGGTAGATAGGTTGGGTGGCAATAATATGAAAGGTCTTACAAGCTTGGTAGAGAACTTTAGGTTCTTGAAGTGTGGGGGTACGGCAATGTGATTTAGATAGCAATTTAGGAAGATTTTTCTGGTAGTGATGACTACAACAGGGAGAGGTTATTGGAGGAGAGATTTGTTAGGGAGCTCTTATGGGAGAAAAGAGTTAAAACAAAACCATTAGGTGGTGATGATGGAAATGTAGAAAGAGAAATGAATTAAAGAGACATTTGGAGGGAAGGATGGGACTAGATGGCATTGGATTATAGGGATTGGAGAAGGAAAAAATAAGTCAAAGATAACTCCAACATTTCTATCCTAGAAGGCTGGATGGTTAGTAGCACCACTGATTTCTTGATGAAGGAAAATGATGAGGTCTGTTTTTAGACAGATTCAATCTGGGATCAGTTGGGATGTCTGGTGGAACTGTCTTATTGACAATTAAAAACATGAGACTAGACAGTAGCCAAGGGGCCAGAAGAAGACATGAAAAATTGATGATACACCAATGATGGGACTCACTGCCCATAAATCCAAATTCCATAGCTGGATTTTCAAGGCTACTGTCACCTAGTCTCATGCCACCCATTCAAACCTGTCTTCAGCAACCCTACAGTCTGGATCCCTCCTCCTGGTTCAGCAAATTATGCTTTTTTCCCCTTTGTGACTGAATTCCTGCTGCTTTCCTTGCCTGGATATTAATAACAAGAGCTCCCTAGATCTCTAGTTATTACTTTCTCCCTAAGCTTTAGGACCACCAGCCCACGTCCTTCCCACATCATAAAAATTGTTTTTCAAAACCTCTAGTCCATACTCTGCTTTCTGTCTTTTGCACTCCTGTAGCATTTAGAGGTTGCACTATTTGTATACGCACTCAATCATATACGAGTTTATGCTTTTTAATCAGGTCTAACATAAATGCCTACCTTGTCTTGTCAGTAAAACTACAAATGCCTTGAGAGTGAGGATCGATGTTCCTCTTGCATCAGTTAGGAATTATATTTGACTGCTGAGACCGAGACTCCTAAACAGTGGCTTAAAAAAAAAAAAATGAAAGGTTTTATTTTTCTCCTATTATGAGGACTATGGAGACAGGTAATCCAAAGGTGATTTGGCAAATCTTGGTAAGAGCGGAGATCTGGCCTCTGTCTGCCTTTTCCCTTAGCCCTCCGTGGCGTGGATTTCTCACTTCGTTATCATAAGCGTACTGACCCCCCACGCGTACAGCATCCCGGCACAGGGAAGTGGGAAGGCAGTGGGCAAACTGGGCTTGCCCACTCACTTACCCCTGTTTTCAGCGTGCTTCCCTAAAAGCTCCATCCCTCAACCTCTGCTTGCATTTCGTGGGTTAGCAGTTAGAAAAAGAGCCGGTCCTATCTGCAAGTAATGCTGCAAATGTTTTTTTTTCAGTTGGACGTATTGCTATTCTTGACAAAATCCACATTATTTTAGCAAAGAGAAGGGCAATTGGTAACTAATAGGCAACCAGTTGCATGTGTTCTGTCTCTTTCTGTCTGTCTCTATGTGTATATACTTACACATGCATGTATACATATACATCTTTGTTCAGATACCTACATATATAGGATATATGATATGAATATATGTGTATCACAAATGCACAAGTTAGGCACAAGTGGCTATATTTTTACATAAATAATGATTATTTATGCAAAATTAAACCAAGTTTTATTTTTCAATTGCCATACTGGCTTTAATTTCGTTTTCTCGTGTCTATCGTCAGTATCAGAGATTGAGAGGAATCTCTGAAAACATTCATACCCTTACATTCCTTAGAAGTTAAAGGTACTGAATTAGCGATCTGGAGTTTAATTTCTGCATTTTAAGTTTCTCATTTTTCTCCCTTCTCCACCCCATGACTCAACCAGTGATACTCAGGCTGTATTTGTGACACACTTTTGAATATTGAAATTATTATCAGCGCACAGGAAGAGATGAGAAGACCCCAGTGCACAACCAGAGCAAAGATGTCGTAGTATTGTGTGATAACTCCACACAACCACGGCCAGTCTACCGGAGCCTCACGGAGCCTGTTGAAACACCCCCCAAATGCTGGGCCTTTCACTTTGTCACTGTGTACTCTCTTACGTACTCCGAGGAAGTGACTTGATCAGTTTAAGAGCAGAGCTGTGATTAGGACTCAGGCCACTTTACTCCAGGCTCAAAGTTCTTTCTGCTACATGATCCATAACAAGAGTAACAACAACAACAGTAATTCACATTCACGTAGAACTGTACAGAGCGCCTCACCCGTCTTGCACTACAGATAGAGCAGATACCATTTATATGATCCATCCCTTTAGATCACGAAGCACTTTACAAACTCATGGCAGCTGGTGGAAGGGCAGTAAGTAGGGTGTTCTCTCACACTCATCGGTGATTGGAGGACCTTTCCCCTATGGATTGCACATACCCAACTGGTGGCTGTTACCCAGGCTAACAGAATGCCCCAATCTGAATTCCCTGGACTAATCTGTTGGGATAAGGACATTTCCTGGCCACTCTTCCTATTCTTCCATCTTAGCCAATGTAATTATGTCTTGGTAGTGAAACAACTAAATCCATAAGAGAAAGAAGAATTGACTATCCTCTTGCAACACATTATTGCCTTCAGTGTGGCACTTGAGCTTCTAATTTTCCAAGACAATGTTACCACTTAGGGTTTAGACACATCTTAATCTGTTGACTGAGGGAGTGTGTGGCTGGAATTTTCACACCAGGACCATATGTGATATAGTTACCTAAGCATCGCAAAGGAGACAGGTAGACTGCCTCTTGCATGTCTACCAAACATGACAATGCTTCAGGTAATAAGAATGGTGGCAGGGATGATGGATGGCAACGAAACAGTGAAATTTGGAACTTCCTTGTTTGTTTTCTTTTGAAACCTTAAAGTTATCCAAATGGAGTGTTAATTTTTTTTTTAAAAAAAGAAATGTTTTCTTAGGAGAAGACAATATTTTGAAATGTTTTTAATTTACAAGAGCCCGTTTCCTTCAGTCTCCCATTGCTGCATAAGATTGAACAAATGTTAGTTGCAACTAATTAATTTAGTTTGCAGAAAGTAGCAGCAGGGGACTGGAAACTTGAAGTGGAAGTGAGCCTTTTTGACTGTAAACATGCTGCCTGCCTGAGAGACTATATCTGGATTGAGTGGTTGCAGAGTTATCCAAAGAAATGCAATGTCTCTGGGAAAATCAGGCTTGGCAGGGAGAAAAAATAACAACGTCTCTTGCTGGCAAATCGATTCATGTATTTCCTGGGTTCATCTCATGTGTTTTGCTTGGGTTTGGCCACATGTTATTAATTCTGCTATCCTCTCTGTGTACAGAGGTGATGCCACAGGATTCCTCTTAGAAGGATAAAAACTAATATTTGTTGAATACTTTTTCTGCACCAAAGTCTTTATATATGCCATTTCTTTCTGTGAGGTAGATATGATTCTCTTATTTTACAGATCAGGGAAAAAAAAAAAACTCAGGATTTAGGAACTCACTCAGGATCAGTTTATAGGTGGCGGAATTGGGATTTGAACCCACACTGGTCTGATACAGGAGCTTTGTGAGCTACTCTAGGGTAGTTTCCCATGGTATAGGGTGAGGAAAGGGCTGCAGGGAGTCGTGGCAGCCTCTTGCCTGGTTTTCCTATGGCTGGGGGAGGAAGGGTAGTCCAGGGAAGACCTAGGGCCATGGAATATGGAAAGGCGATACTCAGATTTGAGGGTGAGCAGCAGATTACACTTGGAGAAACACTAGGTTGGAGAGATTCCTGAACAGGAGTCCCTGAACTAAGGCCTCTGTAACCTTCCAACTATGCTGGGCTGCGAGAACTCAAGTTCTCCCTGGAACTTGAACCCAGACATAATACCAAAAGTGATGAGGGGATTAATGGAAGAAACTGAGGCTGGAAGGCCATGACACAAGGGGGCCAGGGCAGCCATAAATGAACTCTGAGAGGTATGAGGCTGTGAGTAGAACCACTGCGACCAAGCAGAGGAAGTTTTTTCTGAGAGGAGGCACAGACAGGAGCGAGGACACAGCAAGTTGAGATGGGGTCAAACGCCAGTTCTTAGAACTGTTGCAGTCACCAAGGTCTTTGTGTGCTGGTCGTGATGCAAGGCATGTTGATCTTACCTTGACAAGCCTACCCCCTCCATTTCATCATTTTTCTCTTTGCACTCACTGCCAACACTAGTCATTGTTACTATATGAATTAGAGTCTTGGCAGAAATTCATCAAAAATCCAGCAGACCAATTCACAGTTCACACCGAATAGGCCAATAAAGACTGAAAAATTCTGGATTATCAAAGGAGAATCACACACAGTTCTTTTAGAGATTAGATAAGACTTAAGTACAGATCATTAGTCTTTTACTGAGTTTGTAATGGACATTACTGGTAAAAATAGTCAAGAGGAAAGGAAAGTGATAGTATCTGAAACTATGCTTCCTAAAATGTACTGGAGTCTAAAACTTGACTGAAGAATGGCATCTTTTCGACAAAGTTTAGATATGCAAAATTTGAATTGGTAAAACTAAACTCGGTCACAGGTGAAAACTCACAATGGCAGATGATATGAATGATGGCATTTCGTATGGTCAAAGAAGCTGATCAATAAATCAAATCTTGGTTGTAAATTTACATGGGAAAAAATTGAACTAGATGAAAATCATGTCAGTAAAATAAGAATGAAATGGCAAAAACACTGGGGAAAGCTTGACTATTCTCTGTAGAATATTATTTGCAGAATTAATTTGGAATAATGAGAACTTCTGCTTCTGAATAGAGGGTTGCACAGGCTGTCGGTTTCTGCAGCAATAATTAGGAAAAATGGGATGAGTTACAAAAATTGTATTTTTAAGGACATTGGCGAAGTAGGAAGCAAAAAGTTATGAGATAAATTAAAATTTCAAAGGGAAGCTCCCTTCCCAGGGAAGCTGAGAGCACTGACTATTCTATTTCCTGGGGGTAATTTCAAGTGTGGTCACAGACTGAGGATCAGCCTGGCTTGGCCAGACAGAGGGACTCTATGGGGAAAAGACAAAGCTGAAGAGGAAACTGACAGCCTGGGGTCTAGAGGATCATCCAATGCCTTATCTGGTTTTCCCAGAGGGCATTTGCAGAGTTCTCAGGGAGGGGCGGTGCTAAGAGACCAAGAGGCTGGGCTGGACAGCAGAGTGACACTTCTCACTGCCTCAAAGTGCCCGGAAAACCCTTGAGTTGGAAGAGCCCATGACAAACACACAACTGTCCTTGAGACACCTGTTACTTGGCATGCTGAGTCTAACTGAAGTTGCAATCTAGCTCCAAGCCTGTTCAATTTCTGGTTGCATTGAGGTGATTAGATAGTCCCCTCTCCCTGTCTGCTTTTCAGGAGAAAGCATAAACCCTCTGGGGGCAATAACATAGACAGCAGTCTCTAGGATTCTTCTACACATAAAGTTTACCATCCAATAAAATATTACGAGAGATATGAAGGCGTAGAAAACATGACTAAAACTCAAGAGAAAAATGAGCAATGGAAGCAAACCCATAGATGATCCGAACGTTGAAGTTTAAAAGCTCAAAGACTTTAAAATAACTATTACAAATGTGTTAAATAAAATGCAGGAAAAGACATAAAAAGAATGAAAAGACAGAGAAGGCCAACTAAGGATTCAAATCTGTGTAAAAGAATGAACCAGATATTATACAACTTAAAAATATTATATCTGGTATTAAGAACTCATTGAACAGGTTTAACGTATACTTGGCCTGGATACAGCAGAATACAGGGTCAGTATACTCAGAGACAGGCCCAAAGAAAATAGTAAAACTGAATCACAGAAAGAAAAAGAAAATTGAAAGAACTGAACAGAACAAAAGAGAGTTATGGGATGTAGTAAAATGTTCTAACATATGTGTAGAGTCTCAAAAGGATAGGAGACAGACAACAAGGAAACGGCATTATTTGGAGAGATAATTGTTCAGTTTGTTCCAAAAACTGATGAACCCATAGATTCAAGAGGCTCAGCA